TATTTTTTATTTTGTTTTTTATTATTTTGGTTTGTTTTTTTGGTATGGGAATTGTTAAGTTACGGGTTAATTGTAGGTTACAGAATTAATTGTTTAATGTTACGGGTCAATTATTAAGGTTATGATCCTCTTCTCTCGTCATTTTTATAAAATATGATGAAGATTATTTATTATTTTTGTTTTCATCTTTTTTTATATATCGAGTATTAAGATAATAGTTGAACATGATTGATGATGATATTTTATTATTTTATTTTTTATTATTCTTAGTATTTGTATTGGGAGATTGTTAAAAAGTACAGGTTAAATCTGTTAGGTTACAAAATTAATTGTTAACTGTTACGGGTCAATTGTTGGGGTTATGAATCTCTCTCTCTCTCTCTCTCAGTCGGGTCATCTCTCTCTACCTCTTAATCATGATGTTTCTTTTTGATGATGATTGAAATGATTAAAGAGTATTATTATTTTATTATTTTATTTTTTTTTTTGTATTTTTAAATATTCGTTGTTAAAGGATAATGGTTGTTGTGAAAGGTTTGCATTGATTGTTGAAGGTTACGGGTTGGTTGTTAAGGTTAAGAGTTTGATGTTAAAGATATTGGGTGTTGTTGTGTAGTTACGGATGTGTTATCGTAAGGTTACGGGCTTAATTGTTAAGCTTACGCGGTTTTAATTGTTAAGGTTATTGGTTTATTGTTAAGGTTACAGGTTATAATTGTTAAGGTTACGGTTTATTAATTGTAAGGTTAGGTTAACTTGTAAAGGTTACGGTTTAATTGTTATAAGATTTAAGGTTCTTAATTGTCTAAGGTTTAACGGGTTAATTATTACGGTTAGTTTAATTGTTTGTTACGAGGTTTAATTAGATTACACGCGACTACGGGTTTAATTATAAGGTTAACGGTTCGTTTATTGTTAAGGTTATGGCCTATTATAAACAATATGCATCCTCAGGTTACCGGTTAATGTGTTAATGTTAGAGGTTTTTGTTAGAGATTGGGTTATAATTGTTAAGGTTACGAGGGATCGAGGAGATAGGCATCTATACAATTGACGCCGTAAGCCTTAAAATATAGATTAACCTTATATAAACTCGTATCGTCATATACTAATACAATAATTATACCGTATATTATAAACAATAATAACTATAACACATTAATTAACCCGTAACCTTAAGCATTATCTAACATAATACAATTAATGAATAACAGTATCAGTAAAAAAATATAACATTAAACGCCGTAACCCTTACAATTAGCCGCGTAACCTTAACGAACAATCGTTAACCTACACAACAAACGCATAACCTTAACAATTAAACCGTACTAACAACCACCTTACCTTACAATCAATGCATAACATTTAGCATAACCGAATTATCTTGAACCAAACGAAGCATCTCTAAAATATACAAAAAGAATAAAAAAGCAAATATAATAATTCTCGTTAATCATTCAATATCACTCAAAGAAAACATGATAGATAGATATATTATACTAATATATTATATATATAAATATATATATTACTATACTATATATATAATATATACTACGAGAGAGGAGAGAGAGAGGATTCAATACCGTTAACATGACGGCGCGTAATATTAACTTAATTCGTATCATTAAGCAAAACCTATAACTTTTAACAATCTCCCAATACACAACCAAATAATTAAAGAACAAATATAAATAATCCTCTGAATATTTCACTATCATCTTAGTACTTCACTGATAAAAGAGAAGAGAAATAATAAAATAATAATATCATCATCATGAATTGTTAACTAAAAAAAAGAAAGCGAGAGAGAGAGAGAGAAGGATTCATAACCTTAACAATTGACCCGTAACATTAACAATTAATTCGTCAACCTTAACATTAACCTGCGTAAGCTTTAACAATCTCCAAATACAAACAACCAAATAATAAAAACAAAATAATATAAATAATTCTCATCAATCATTTCAACTATCATTCAATACTGTCATGATAAAGAGAGAGAAAAATAAAATAATAAAATAATGCCATGCATTATTTTAATAAAAAAGAGAGAGAAGGTATTATGGTCTTCACATTTTTAATGTCTTGGGTTTTTGTGTTTGAGGTCTGGCTCAGCAGAACATGAATCTTTATTCTGGGGTAAAACACCGTTGACCAAAGTCTTCGGGGGTGGGAAGCATTTTTCCCCTATTTAAATTATACAACCAGGTAGTTTTAATAGAGTCTATTGTGGATTTACCAGTAACTTTAACCAAGAATTAAGGGTTAAAAAGTTTTAAGATTTCCCGCGTGACGTGTCCATATGGAATCTTCAGTGGAATATTCACGTTGCGTAGATATTACGAGTTTAAAATACAACTTAAAACTTTAGGATATTGGTCTCGCCAAACAAGTGAGAGTAATGTAAGTGCATAATAAGAGAAAGCTATAAAACTGAATTAATTCTATCTTTATAAATGTTGATTTATCTCTTTTTTTCTCATATTCCCAATGATGTGCGGAAGTGTGATCAAATAAGCACCAGTCCCGTTCTGTACGAGTAAACACACAAACCCTAGAAATCACATGATAAATAAACGTTATTGAAATAATAATATTAATAATAATAATAATTGTTTGTGTAATAATAATTGGAAATTTAACATTCGGCTTAGCGAATCATACCCCAATAAGCCAGACAAGCTCAGCGCGTCCAGTGAAAAAAACTGTAAATACGGCACTGTGTATAGAACATGTGGCATGTAGCTATCTTAAAACGACACTCTCCGCTCTCTAAGACGCGACTAAGGCTCTGTCTTGGCAAAACAGCTAAAGCTGGCGAGATTAAGCGTGAAGCTGTCAAGTTAGTGAAAGCTGTGAAATTATAGCCTGAAAGATGATAGTGGTAGCCTAGCTGATATGGACTAGAGCTGATTTGGCCAAGAAGCTTGTAACTGCTTAATTGTTTAAAATGACTAAAAAGGTCATGCAATTTATTAATATAAAATTAAAATTATTAGTGGCAAAACGGAAGAAAAAATTTGACCGTCCTTCCCAAAGACAAACGCTACTTGAAATTAGCTTCCAAAAGCTACTTGCAATAGACACAATCTCAAAATAACTCTCCTTCTATTTTTGTTACACACAAAGGCTCTACTAGCTATTGACCAAGTCAATAAGACACAAGCTCCTTAGACTAAGGATACTTTTTTGGTTGCCGAAACAGTGGCCATAACAAGCCCCTATAGGCTGTCCATGACACGTGACAGCTATTTCTTACTCTCAGCTCTAAAGATCCATGCCCTCGCTCGCAGCCGTCCAACGTTTTATGTAAGCTCGTCTAATTACGATAATTAAGGATAGATCATATAATATCCTTAACATTCCATGTTAACGGGATATTAATATGATAATGTCCCCTATAATAAACACTTACGTAAGCAACTGAATTTATCGCCAGTAGGAGAAACCTTCCTCGACCACACGCAGGTTAGAATACATGGGGATTACTTGCTGCCCACCAATGTCAGCCTATAGTGTGAACGGAATGTAGACGATCACTTGAGGGAGTATTTAGATAAAAAAAATATTAAATTGTATTTCTTTTATTTAAGAGAAAGATAGCAAACAGGGCGTATATTCGGCGAAGCGTTCCACAATGCAGCAACGTCGCATCGTCTAATACTAGTTGGCAATACACTGTATGGTTTTCACAAATATTTCCTCCTATAAAATAAAGAATACAACCCCTTATATAGGATAATACAATGCTATCCTATAATAGACAAGATCAAATATACATCCTACAAAATAATACGAATTCAATCCTAACTTAAAGAAAATTCAATCGCTACTAAAAAACCTCAATCTCGCTAAAGATACTTAACCCTAAAAGAAAATAAATGCGCGCTAAAAAAGATAACTTCCCTGAAGTAAAATCTTTCATCCAAATCTTTTTTTTCAGATTCATATTTGATGTGTCCTGCTTCAAATCTCTCCATCTTAAAGCATTCTGTAGTTTAACAATGTGGCATGCGTTGAAGAATATCAATTATATTATCATGGTGGATCTCTCGGCTCTCGATACTAAGTTAGATGAGGAACAAAATCATAGTGATTTATTGAGATTGATTATTGTGGATAAAAATAAAAATAATATTTAAAACTAATCTCTTCATTTAAGAAGGAAAAGATAGAAAAGAAGAGCTATCGGCATCCGTAGCGCTTCAAATTAGGGTTTCTCACAAATATTTTTCCTCTCCTCGCCCCT